AGTAGATCAGAATCATGCTCCTCCGATTTCTCACAGACAGTGGATCTCTTCCTCCTTCTTGGTTGAAGCTCGACTTTTTCAGGAATACTTCGCAAGGATCTGCTACTCTGACTCCCCAAAGCTTGAGGTTTTCTAGTCCATCCCTTTCTCCTCAGAGGAATAGTCATCCCTTGATCTTCTGAATTGCCGAAGATAGGATTGTCAAGCGCTGGAGAAATCTTGGCCACTTCTGAGTCCATTGCTAGAAAAATGCTATTTTCCTGGACCAGGATCCCTTCTTCACTGGACAAGTAGATGCCTTTCCCTTTACTCAGAGCCAATTGAGATGGTTCTCCTGGATCAGAATTTTCAGCTACACTTACCTCTTTCCTCACACCATCTTTTACTCCACTTCTAACAGATTCGAATCCATTATCCTCTTCAGTATGCTCTTGGCGTGCCTCATGCCCTTGAGATTGATTTCCAAAAGACTGGCTATCTGGACTAGAGATTGAGGTGGATCTAAATCCATAATAACCAGCAACTGCTCGCAGCCAATCTCCGTACTAACCCTCAGAGAGAGAACCTTTAGCTATATCGTTATCCTTCTTGCCGCAAGCCCTCTCCAGATGACCAATAATGCCGCAATAGAATCAGACATTCACCAACTTCTCATATTGAAACATAGCCATGATTTGAGTATCGTGAAGCTTAAGGAAAGCTACCCAAGGTAGAGGCTTAGTGACATCAACTACAGCTAACAAGCGCAGAAAGCTACCTCTCTGTCTACCTGCTTTGATCACTGAGGCAGTTATAACTTGTAGAAAGACCTTCCCCACCTTCAGACCAACCTCTGTGCAGAGCCAATTAATAGGAATGTTATTAACTTGGACCCAAAGTTGTAATTCGGAGAATTTGCTATGCTTTTCGTTCATTCCCTCTTCCCGTTCCGCCAAAATCAAGTACTGATTTTTGAATACGCAGTTAGTCCCTTTCAATACTTTCGCTTTATCCTCAATACTCCCGAAAAGGAATTGGAAGAAATTCGTTCTCAGCTCTCGAACCTCCATCTGAGCTTGAATTTGCCAAATTGAGCCCATTGTGCGACGAATGCCGATGAGGCTAGCTTTCCTATAACCAATAATCTTCCCAAATAAGCTTCTCTTACATTACGCAGCACTGATTTTTATATCTTCATCCTTTAAAGCAATGATTTTTCCCTCCGATTCCGAGAGGGCTATTTTTTGCAACAACCAACCTAGGTCATCTGCTTCGGGTCTAGAACTCGATGCACCGTTGCCGTCGAACTCCATTAATGAAACAGACTGGAATACAACAACGAAAAAACAGATCTATTACCAACCTGCGATGGAATGAAGCCCTTCCGCAAGAGAATGAAACCATTCTCCCTTGAGAGAATTTTCACTCTCCCTTGAGAGAATTGTAACCACTTTGTTGTTGAGAAATTTTAGTTACTATGGAAATTATGAAACAGAGAATCACCGTGTTAAATTTTAGCTACTATGAAATTCCAGTCGCCACCATGTTTTCTTTCTTTCTTCTCTCTCATTTTTTTTTTTTTTTGGTTTTCTATATAAACCTTAATTTAACAATGTTAAATTTGTTGGTAATGTTTAAGTCTAATATGGATAGTTCCAAAGGATTTATTAACGGTGTTGTTAATTTTTAAGCCTCACATTGATAGTTTCATATCATCCCAACCCCGAATTGAGAAAAGAAAACTTTCAGGTCTTCAACTGATAGTTTACTTATCTCTTGGGCCTTGCATTGATAAAACTCCCTTAAATATCTAAACAATTTAAAATCTCAAATGTTTAAATTAAGGGTTAATTGCTAAATAAACCTTAACATTTTTGCGTTTGACAATTTTATCTCAATCTTTGGGTAATTGCAATATAATCTCGACCTCAAACCGGTTGGACCTTCAAAAAACTGGTTGATCTGAAGACGGTTTGAACGGATCGAAACTCATATTTACCGGTTCACTCCAGATCTAGGAGGAGACTCATCATCGGTAGCATACATTGACGTGGAATTTTCGGCTATGTGCATGGATATACATTAAATACGTAGAAATTGTCAACTTGCTACGTGAATGACATAAAAACCCGTGTCAATGGAAGACTTGAGCACAAAATCGATCCAAAAATCCCTAAAATCAATCATTTTGCACCCAAATTTGCAATAATTAAATTGAGTTCGAGATTATATTGCAATTACCCAAAGATTAGGATAAAATTGTCAAACGCAAAAAGGTTAAGGTTTATTTAGCAATTAACCCTTAAATTAATTGATAAACAATTTATAAATCTCTATTTTATTTAAATATGTAATTTTATTTAAAATGATTTTAAATGTAGCAAAATTTAGTTAGAAAATCGTATCGATCCTACCAGTTCAACCGACTGTTGTTGACGGATTCGATAGCAAATATTTTATTTAAACGAACTAGACTGGTTATAAACCGGTTCTCGGTTCACCCGATCGGACTGTGACCAAACACAGTTTAATTTAAAAATGATGGATATTGATTAATATTATTTATATATCTATATATATATATATATATAATTACTAGCTAATAGCATTTAATAAAACCTATTTAATTTTACCTATGTGGCAATTTAACCATTTTCCCTCCGAAAACCGTTACTTTTGATGAATTTAATCTTTCATTTAATTATTAATTAATCAACACTAATCACTTTAAAATTACAAAAATCATTTTAAACTTTTGATTACTGACAGTTGACCATATAATGTGTTGACCGTATAATGTGATGAGATGTTATTATTGTGGTTACATTAAATTAATTTTTTTAAAATAAAAAACGTATTTGAAATTCCTAAATAAATAATAACTAATTCACAAAAAAAAGATGTACCAAAATATATATTACATCCAATTAGATAAATGCAATTTTATTAAAAAAAATATTTCCAACTCCTTTAATTGTAAATTTGGACAGCAAAAAGGTGAAAGAGAAATAAATAATCATTATATGCATGCAAATCACTCACAATACTTTATTTACATTTGTGCAAGTGCACAGGATCGAATACTAGTTTAATTTATAACACAATCGTAATATTTTTTTCCTGTGCATCACACGAGCCACACGATAGATAATAAATGTAAAGAGATTAAGAGAGTACAATATAATCTCCAAAAGAAAACAAATCGAAGGCAGCAGCCAAATCACAAAACCCTCGTTCAGTCATTCTCTCTTCACCATCTCGCTCTCCAGTCTCCACGGTTTCACCTTCACCTCCACCTCCACTGCAACTGCACGGCTCCATCGCAGATTCACTCCGCCGCCACCACCACGTCTCCACCTCGGCTCGCGCATCTCGTCGTCACTCCGAGATTCCCCGCTCTTCGACTCCGCCACCTCCAAAGTCTCTGTTCCCCTCGCCTCTCGGTACCCTAAATCCCCAGCTCGGCAGCTTCTCGGCTTTCAACTCTACAGGTAATTTAGAA